GTGTAGGATCTTATTTCCAGTTCAATGCCATAGTATTTGCATACATACATGTACTTCTCTATATATTTGCATGCATACATGTAGTTCTCAATAAAGGTACAAGTCCACTAGGGCTGCCTCATTAATTCATAGCAGCACTGGCATCATCTTAAAAGTTGCCTATCACAAAAAGAAGTGATGTTATGAAAAATAACTAAAACAAAATAGTGCTTCTGACACATTTCATATTATTTTAACATTAATTTCTTAGATAACATTTTAACTTATTTACATAGTTGTGAGATATAAAGTTGTTTCTTCCATTTTATTAACTCAATATGTCATAATATTAGCTTATCAAAATATTAATAAATAACTTGCTGCCAAATATTTAGTGGAGAAGCCAGGGCCTGGGCACTTGGCTTGGCTCAGTCTCTCCGTTGGTTGGTTAACAGCGCACTTGAGCAGGCCTCTGTTGCACGTCCCCATCCAGGATGTGCACACACTCAGCCCCTCCACACTGAGGTTTGAGCAGAAGTTCAAAGCCTAAGCCCTAGGCATTGCCCAGATCAGACGCCATTGTTCATGAGAATTTGGCCTCAAAAGCAGACATGGACAAAAGGTTAGGAGCTTTTCCCTTCCTAAATTTCCTGATAAAAGGACTACCTGTGTATCAAAGTGGCCACTTCCTGTGCTGGGTTACAAAATGTGTTCCGAACTGGGCAAAGAGGAGGGAAGAGGTTACTTGAATGAGTGAATTTAGCATAACACCAAGTTTTCTTTACCTTCAAATTATGTTTGAAAAATGTCTTAATTTTTCCTAAAAAAATATTTTATTTATATATTTAGAGACCTGGTCTCACTCTGTGGCCCTGTCTAGAGTGCAGTGGTGTGACCATAGCTCGCTGCAACCTCAAACTCCTGGGCTCAAGCGATCCTCTTGCCCCACTCTCTTGTCCAGTAGCTGGGACTAGAGGCCTGCGGCACCACGCTAGATAGTTTTTCTATTTGTGGTAGCGATGGGGTCTCACTCTTGCTCAGGCTGGGCTCGAACTTCTGGCCTCAAACAATCCTCCTGCTTCAGCCTCCCAAAGTGCTAGCATTACAGGATAGAGCCACTACCCAACCCCTCCCCACCCTGAAAACAATTTTAAATGTTGCCACTTTCACTGAAGAATTTTGTCATTTTCGTGAAGAAGGCATATTTTGCATAGAAAAATAATTACCATCCAATCTTAAACATTCCATTATTCAACTGTCCAGTCGCGTCCTGGCCATTTTTTAATAGAAACCCCACCTTCTCTACAGATGACCCGGATCCAAGCAAACGTTTTACAGGCGTCGTTGTCATTGTTCATCCATCTGTTAACCGTTCTCGCCACTCTTTGGACGCTTTTACTTCTTTGCAGTTGGAGAATTTCTTCCTCAACTCCACTCCCACCACCGCCACCCCCAACTCCAGCGCTGGCAGGAGACCCCCCGCACATGGGCACATGGGCCACCCGACCTCCGCGCGATCTTCTGCCTGTTTTCCCCTAGATCTTTTTCCAAGTACGTAGGTGGGCAGATACTCACCCGCTCTCCAGCCATCCCGACTGCCCGCTCAGCCCTTTTCCTTTTCTCGAGGTTGTAGCTCCTCTCCTCCGTCTCTAAATGGAATTAGTGGAGCTCGGAGCCTCTGGTGTAACGCACAGACATGATCCATGGACGCAGTTTGTTCCACAGTGAGTACCGTTCCCGCCGCCGCGCGGGGCCGGCCCTCCGTCCCCTCCCTCGCGGCCAGACGCGCGGGGGGAAAAGCCTCGCGCCAGCCACCGCGCTCCGGCCGGACCCCGCAGTCCCCGCGAGTCGTGGGGCACGTGTAAACTTTCTGTATTGCAGCAAAATAGACCCGGGCGTGGGGGCGGCGCAGTCGGTCCCCAGCTCCGTGCTAGGGTCTGCGGGGCTGGCACCTGCCTGGGGCATCTCGTGTTCTTCCCCGCTATTTCGTATTCTGTTATTCGCGTTGTACAAGCTGGGGCTCTTCCGGTGGCGTTTCCCCAGCAACTCCTCTCTCCCGAGTTTAGCGCGCGCGCGTGGACGTGGATGTTGGGGTGGGCTGGGGGGTGGTCCGTGAATGCCTTGGAGCGGTTTTAAATACCTTGGGGGGGGGATAGGAGTGGAAGAAGCCCGCGTCTTGGCAGGAGCAATTTGGTGGTGGCGACCTCTGCATCCGGCCCCGCGGTTAACCGCGAAACTTTTACCGCTGCCTTTTCCTCCGGCGCGCGCCCTGCCTCGACTCCCAGGCAGGCTGGAGCGCAGGGTAAAGCCTCCATCCCGGAGGGGACAGAGGGCGAGAAAGCGCTCACTTGCTTTAGACTTGGACTATAGGGGTGGGAGGCAGCTGGCTCGCTATCTCTAACCCTTAAAAAGTGAAAAACCAAACCCCAAAAGGGATTTTCACAAGACGGCCCCTCCCCCTTCCCCGCCTTTTATCCGGCACCAAGATCCAGCTCCGGATTCGCCTGCTCCATCCTCGCCCCTGAGCCCGGGGCTGGCCGAGTGACTGATCCCGGCCCGGTCCTCACCCCCTCCCCCTCCGCTCCCCCCAGGACCCGAGCGGGGTGATGTCCTTGCCGCCGCCCCATTCCGCCGCGCTCCAGCCCCGGGGCCGCCGGCCGCGCGGAGCTGCGCGAGTCCTCCCCTGCTCGGGGCTTCCAGGAGGGTCGCGCCGCTAAGGCCATGACTAAGGCGCCCACTTGGTAACTCTGCCATCTTCCTGCTCCTTCCGCCTCCCTCCCTTCCCCGCCCCCCGAGCCACCCGCGTTCCCCGCCGCCACCCTCCAGCCCTCCTCCCAGACGCCCACCCACCCGCTCCTCTCTCCGCAGGATCGCAGGGGTGGCGCGGCGCCTGGCGAGCCGATGACGGACCCCTTCCTCCTGCCTTCCATGCCTCAGCGGGAGGTCCCCAAGGGCTGGCGAGAGGAGGGCTGCTGCTGGACACCCTCGCGGAGAGGCGGCTCCGACCTGCCGCTCGTCGTTTATGAGACCGGGGACTGAGCGAGCCCCAGCCGCCGCCCGCTCCGTCGCTGCCGTCGGTCTGGACTGGCCCCGCCTCGCCCGCCGCCGCCGGCCCGGCCGGCCCCGGCCCGGGCGCCCCGGGCTCGCCCCGCGCCCGCGCCGCCGCGCGCCGCCCGCCCCCCCCGCCCGCCGCGTCCTGCTGCCAGCTGCGGCGGCGGCGGTGATGCAAGGGAGGAGGGAGCCGCCGCGGCCGTGCTGATGGTGGCGGCCGGCGCCCGGGTGTGATGCGAGCGTCATGGTGGGGATGCTGGCTGCGCGGCGGTGACAGGGCGGGCGAGCGCCAGAGCCCGCGGGCGCGGAGGACCGCCCGGGTCGGGTCTGGCTGCGGGGTGGACTCGCCCCTCGCTCTCCCCCCCCTCTCTCTCTGTCCCCGCTCTATGTTGTTCTTGGTTTGCATTCTTTAACATCTCCCGATTCCATCCCCGTCCCCACCACTGGAAGCCCTCCCTCTGGGTCTGGAGGACTTGGAGCTCTGAGGACGTACTGTCAGTCTCTCTCTCTCTCTCTCTCTCTTCTCTCTCCATCCTCCCCCCAAGCCCTGTGGCGCGCTCTCCCTTGCTCTTCCTATTTCCTAGCTCTCTCTCGCTCCACTCCCTCCCTGCCCACCTACCAGCCTTTCAGTAAATGGGTGGTCAACACACAGGAGCGCGCGCACACACAGGCGCGCACACACGCGCACACCCCCCCTCACCCCTCTGCTTGGCCACTTTACCGCACCGTCGAGGACCTGCAGCTACATGGAAAACTAGGAACCAAAAGCTTGGTGGAAGGAGTCTTGGAGGTTGCGTCCAGGGTCCCCTCCCGGCCATCTCATTGTCCCTCACCCCAAACTTAGTGCCAGGAGATCGCCACCCTCTCTCAGCCTCCGTGCTGGGGACAATGTGGGCAGGACCGCGGCGAGCGCCCACAGCCCCACGTGGGCGGGCGTCCCAGTGCCGCAGCGGCAGCAGCAGGTGTCGGGAAGCGAAGGCTGGGTAGGGAACCAGGCGCGGCGGCGGCGCCCCAGCTCCCAGCGCTCTCCTGTCTCCTCTCAGGGCCCTTTCCTCTCTCCTCGGCCTTTTGAAGCCCCCCCCCAGGCGTGACCACAGCGTGTGGCCGCTGTCTGCCTGCCTCAGTTCTTCCCACCTTTCCACCGCCGTCATCCCTAAGCAGAGCGCCGGTCCCGGCTGTGAGCCCGAGGCGCCGGGTCAGCCGCGGAGCCCCCCAGGTTCCCAGACCACCCGCGCGGTGGCCTGTGCGTGGCCCGCGGTCCGCCTGGCGCGGCCGTGGTCTGCGCGGGCAGAGTCCGCAGAGGCCGGGAGGCCGGGACAGAACCGGGAGGGGAGGAGGTGCCGCTGCAGCGCCCGGGAGGAACTCGCCACTCGGCCCCGGCCCCGTACGCCCGCTGCCTCTGTGATCTTCGCTATTTCGGTTATTTCTGATTTAGTTCGGGTGTGTACCAAGCTGGGATGTCTCTCTCCGGTAGGCGTCTTCCTCCAGCACTTATCGGCTCGCACGAAAATAGAGGAAAAACCATGGTTCTTTTTTCTTAAGTGAAGTACCAAATAAACATGGTATTCTTTGTAGATTAAGTTATTATATATTGTTGTTTTTTATATATTTTTATTTGTTAGCGCGCTTGTGTCTTCGGTGGACGTGGATGTTGGGTTCTTTGTGTGGTCGTGTGAGGTGTGGTCTCGTGAATGCTTGGGGGCAGAGAACGGCGAGCCGCTAGGGGATGGGCACGTGCGGGAGGCTGGGGGCCCCGGCAAGGGCGCAGATGCAAAGAGACGGAAAAGCGGGGCTGGTACTTTGTGGGACGAGGAGAGATAATCCGCTTTTCTGGGGCTAAGCGAGCCCATATCCCCATCCGGTAGGTAGTTCAGGCTGCACTCGAACCCAGTGCTGGAGCAGCGAAGCGCAAGGGTCGCCCCCAGCTCGGTTCTGCCCGGGAGACCCTCTGATGCTGCTTTATAGATCCGTGGTAACGGGGAGTGTCGAAGCGGGAAGGAATGAGAGGCAAATAGCGTCAAAAGTCATCTAGCAAAAGGCAATGTAAGAAAATAGGAGGTGGAAATTTAACGCTATAAAGCAAGGATGGAAGTGTTAATCCTGGGCCACGCAGTTCAAAGACCCGGCCTTACTGATGAGTTAAACACAGGGCATGTTCCATAATGTGATTTCATCAAAACGGGAAAAGCAGAGTGAAAAAAAACACCAAATATACAACCTGATACTGATGGATGTATACCTGTGTGTGGTGTGAGAGAGAGAGTAGAGTCATGGCAAGTTAAAATGATTTATTTTTTTCTATTTAAACACTCACAGACAATAACAACAACCAATATTTCCATCTAAAAAGCAGATGACTGGCTAGAATATTAAGTAATATAATTGATAATTTCTCAAATATTATTATCAAGACCCAGATACTTTCCTTAGAATAATGTTTTATAAGCTTCTGTAACGAGCTTTAGTTCAGGAAATAATTGTGAATTATGCCCTCCTTCCCCCAAATTCATTTTAAGTGGAAATATGAAAACATAGATCCTTTATGTAATTAGACAACCAAATAAATAAAATGGATGAGGAAAAATCAGAAATTATGAAGACAGGATGACTTTAATATACTTTTTTAGTTTTAGGCTTGGTAAAAATGAGAATACAGAAGTGAAACAGAAGTTCAGGTTATGATGGACTTGTACATTTACTGTGTAGCTACAGATCAGGTCTCCTTTTGATACTGAAAAAAAAAGAAAAAACTGACCCAATCTAATGTTTATAGAAATCACCTTTGGCAAAATAATAATCTATTTCTGAATAACAATATTAAATCAACATTAAGATTAAAATAGATTAATTCCACAGCTTAGAAAGGGCCAAGGAGAGGGGTTATTGGTAGCTCAGTACATTTTTGTAAGAAACCTTTTAATAATGCTGGTTAATGCCTATAATCCACATTAATCTGTTTTTTCTCTTGTTTCCCCTCCCCCACAGTCAGTAGGATTTGCCTGAGTATTTATTTTCTAAAATACCACCACACTGGCAATGTGTTAGGATCAACCATGGAGCCCTGGCTCCTTATTTGACTTTCCCTTCCTCCTCTACCTGCTGCCTCCCTCTCTTCCTTTAGAGATGCTGGCAAAGCCATCCACAAAGGGTAGTTTAGAAACTGCAGTGTGGGTCCCCAAACCCCCTTCTAATGTGTGTGGCATTGGTAGATTCTCATGTTGCCTCTTAGTTTTGAAGTATGTATTTGCCTTAGGACTTTGGGTTTCATCCATTCTTAACTGGTATTACTTCCTGAAGGGAGTCCCAGGTTTTCCTGATTTCTATATTTTAAATGAGATTTTTGCAAGTTCTGTGCCAACATATAACAGTTAGCAATGATAAAATTATTCTACTTTGATACTATTTTATCTTTGAATTATGTGATATTTCTATGGAATTTGATCATTGTTATATTCTTTCTAATTTTTCTTTTCTGTTTCAGTTGTAGCAAGTTTAATCATCCTCCATTTGTCTGGGGCAACCAAGAAAGGAACAGGTGTGTTTCTTTAGAAAAATGCTAGTGGAAGACCTCTAATTATTTTGTATTTTTCTATTTTCTTCGTAATCTTAATATTCCAGAATATCTGAATCTTTTGTAGTGTGTATAATTGATTGGTTTTGAGTAAGACAACATTTAGAAATTAATTTACTAATGGATATTATAAAGAATGTCCTATTTTTAGTATTATAGAAAATTGGATGATGGCTCTCTTTAATTTCTTTTTCTTTTACAGAAAAGCAAACCACCTCAGAAACACAGAAGTCAGTACAGTGTGGAACTTGGACAAAACATGCCGAGGGAGGGATCTTCACCTCTCCCAACTATCCCAGCAAGTACCCCCCTGACCGGGAGTGCATCTACATCATAGAAGGTAAGTGAGAGAGTGCCAAGGCTAGAGAGAAACACTATGCCAAAACCTGGCCATCCCTGTGCTTTGGATGGACAGTATGCATATATACATTACAAAATTGATTTTGGAGATTGTGCACATAAACATCTCTGGGTGAATCAAATAACTGTAAAGTCTGGAATCAGCCTAATTATCGAAATTATTAGTAATGGGTTATGAACAAGCAAATTCTGGAAAATAAATACAAATCAACCACTTCAGAGTTTATTTTGCAGTGGATTTAATTGATTGAGAGTTCCAAAGTAAGAGAGTGGATTCAAAGTTAGTGTAATATTACCTAATATGTAACAGTTTGAGAAACTAGTATTTTTAGTTTAACAATTGTTAGAATGACCTATACACCGGTTACTATTTTCTTTACTATTATAAAGCACAAAAAACACATTAATGTCAATATGAATCTAAAATCACATTTTCTAAACATCATTCTGAAAGCCAGTTACCTTATCTTGTGCTACCAAGTGACATTATCGTATTTTAAAGTCAAAGTCAGGATTCTAAATTATGGTGCTTTGTTTCATCATTTGTTCCCAACTTGAAGGATAAACAGTGCTGAAAAAGAGACCTTGTGGACGTCTCTGTATAAAGTACAGTTTTGTAAAATATATAAACATTTCATCTAATGGTAGAAAATCTTTTTTTTTTTTTTTAGACAGAGTCTTGCTCTGTTGCCTGGGCTAGAATGCCATGGCATCAGCCTAGCTCACAGCAACCTCAAAGTCCTGGGCTCAAGCAATCCTCCTCCCTCAGCCTCCCAAGTAGCTGGGACTACAGGCATGTGCCACCATGCCCAGCTAATTTTTTCTATTTTTAGTTGTCTGGCTGATTTTTTTTTTTATTTTTAGTAGAGACAGGGTCTTGCTCTTGCTCAAGCTGGTCTTGAACTCCTGATCTCAAGCAATCTTCCTGCCTCCACCTCTCATAGTGCTAGGATTGCAGGCATGAGCCAATGTACCTGGCCAGAAGCTTATAGTATTTTAAATCTTAGCACCTTATTGACTAATACTTGCAAAGGCTCCACCAACACTACACACACACACACCCACACACACCCACACACACACACACGTATACAGACAAAGCTGCCTTAATTGAAAAGGCAGGTGTGCTCTGTATCTACTTGTAAATCAGGGTCATCTCTATTTGATTGATCTTTCAAAGAAGCAGACATTATGTTTAACTGATTATAAGAATCTTTATAAATTATTCTTTTACTTTTTTTGTGATTTTTGGGTGAAGTATCTTTTCTCCCCCCCTTGTACTGAAGTTGACTTTTAGCAAAAATACACCACACTATAAGAAGGTAAAATGATAAGCTCTGATATTAAAAGGATAACGCTGAATAAAACTAAGGTCTGGCAGTTTTACTTCCTCTTATGAGTAATAGAAAAGGAAATTGATACTTGCCTTGCGGGATGTACGATATGTTCTAGGGACCATTTCCGTGTCAGTAAACAATGTAAAGGGGCCCCAAGATTAGCACAGCGTGGTTGGAACAAGGAGAGCAAAGAGGAGACTACAGGGAAGGAGAGGTGCTCACCTCCCTAGAACAGCATGTGCACAAGTTCAGAGATACAGTATGGCTTGGGATAGACATACAGGATTCTAGGGCTTCCTCATAGTCTGAGGAGAACAGGAGAGGAGGCTGAAGAGGTAGACGTGCCTAGAAAAAGGAGTACCTGGCATTCTATCTGTCCACCTCATGCAGGTCTGGATGTTACGTTACGGACAGTGAGGAACCATTGAAATAATTTGAGTAGAAAAATAATGTGAGATTTCGGTGGGGGAGTAACTGAAGGAAAATAACATACCCTAAGAAATGACTACAAACGGTCAAGTAAATCACAGTAAAAACCTGAACTAAAGAAGCAGCACCAGTGATGGACCAAATGGCAGAAATGGGATGAATTTAAGAAACTCATGAATGGTTGCCGGTGAAGATGAGAGAACAGGGAATCCTAAGGCTCTTCATTTGGTAACTAGTTAGAGGGAATTGTCATACCAGTAAAGGAATGCAGGTGGAAAAAGAAAATGTAATGTGTTAAATTTTGTTTTTTTATGGAGATGTCTCATAAAGAGATTGGATATATGGCTCTTTAGTTTGGTAGAGAGATTTGCATTGAAAAAATATCTGTATGTGAGTGTGAGTGTGTGTGTGTGTGTGTGTGTGTGTCATAGAGATTGTTGCTGAGATTGTTAATATGAATAAAATTATCCAAAAAATTTGGAGCACTGTTTTCAACTCTTAAAAAATACAGATGCCTGGGTCTGTCCCCAGGAATTCTGATTTAATTGGTCTTAGATGGAGCCTCAGGCATCATTGTATTGCCACAGCCCTCCATGGCGATGCCAGGGTGTACTTGGTCTAAACTGAGATGAAAGAGGACGTAGACTAGATTTCTGGAAAATAACATGCAAGAGAGTAAGGAGAAAAGTAAGGGACTGAGAAGGAGAGCCGGAGAGTTGGGCAGGAGAATCAGGTGGAAGTTGCCACAGCAACTACAGTGGATGGAGTTTCAAAAAGCAGAAGTTTGCTGTCAAAGTTTTCACAGCGAAGAAAAATAAGTTAAAAACCAAGATGCATCTGTTACATGAGGCAATTAAGAGCCTGTTAGTAACTTTAGGATGAGCACTCTTGCTGACATCGTGGTGGGTGAAGCCAGTTCCCAGTGCAGGGAGCAGTGAGGCTGCTGGTGGGTGCAGGGGCTTGGCGGATGGTGGAGCCCATGGTAGAAAGGCAATTGCTTTCACTCTTTCTGTATTTTCTTCTTTTCATGGGGCAAACTGTATATTTTTAGCTCTTAAACAGATACTGTATTATTGTAGGAAAAAGTAAATTTAAAATATAAGAGAAAGAGGTATAAATAATTGGTCAAGTTTCTAGAGGTATGATAGAGTGTGGTGATGAATATAGGTGAGTTCTCAGAAATGAAAAGGGGAGTCCATTTATGAGGTTTCAGGGGGTCTAAAAACTTCCCCAAATTGGAGGACATATTCTGTATCTATGTGCACTATTCAGGTAAAAGTTCCTTCCTTCCTTGACGTGTCTAAGGATTCTCAGAAGATGAAACCTCTCATAAAGGAGCCTCGGTTTTAGACCCAAGATAACTTAGAGGAAGTGTTAATGTGAAAGGCAGCTGTGAGCTGAGAGATTTGAAAGTAAAGAAAATGTAACTTTAGGGATCTGGACCCAGATAGTTTCAAATGGTTTACATGTGCCCTAATCATTCTTTTTTTCTTTCTTTTTTTTTTTTTTTTTTTTTTTTGTCTACAACTAGAACTATATGGCATGCATATTTTTAAAAAGTTATTTCACTACCTGCTAAAATTCAGCTAGTGGGGTTCCTATGTGGGTGCGTGAGTGTCATTAACTTCAACGTGTTGGACCAAAGGAAAATGAATTGTCCACGTATGACACAGTCTATCAAAAGCTGTAATGATAGCATTTCTCCCAAAGGAATATTGAAAGATTTGTTCATCCATGTTGGACAGAACGTAAGCAACAATGAAAATGAAGGTTATGAATAAATGAATTCATGTTAGAAAGCCGTGTAGTTCCTAATAGAGGAAATGGGTGGGCATCTGTCAGTAGATGATAGAGAGATTTCTAAGCAAATTAGCAGGGGCTGTTCTCATTGCTTTACCTTTCTCTAGACATACATTATTGATATCTAAAAGGATTTATCCCATAATCAGAAATGGTTTGTTTCCTCATAAATTTTGATGCTGACTTATTGAAAAGGAGACAAACAGGGATATATGCTATAGGAAAATAAAGCATGCAAATGGTGTATTTAATGCAAATACACACATGGGTCCAGCTCTTTAAGCATTTTCCTTTTGTTTTTAGATTCATACTTTAGGCAGAAAATATAGTTTTTCAGGTAGTTTCTTAGGCTACTTTCAAATGTGCAGATTTAAAAAAATTCATTGAAACTCCCTCAAATCTATTATTGTGGATACTGTATTTGTTGTGGATACTATATTTGTTGACCTTTGCGATATATCTTAATAATGGACAAGAGTATGCCAGGTCTTGAAAGAGTCTCTTTTTGATGTGAAAAGAGTCAGAAACATTTTTATAAATTAAAAAATAATCTGCAAAATAATCTTGTAACATGAATGGACTTTTAACCTATGGATCTTTCATTTTACATTTAGAGAGCATCAAGGTTATATTTTGTTCTATAAGTCTCTAATTTCCAAGTCACTATGTATCTTAATTTTGCATAATTTTCTTGACATCTCTGCATACAAGTGTTCAGTTTTTAAGTCATCAAGGGCGATATTCAGTATATATTTAATAACCCGTGAGACAGGGGCGGCCACCATTCAAGAATGGCTGTTGGTCACATGGGGGAGCAGGCTCCGCTGTGCTAACTCTTAACTTTCAAGTGTCTGGAGGGGCTCAGTCCCTGAAGAGGGCCATAGAGCAGAGAAGCACTCAGAGGGCTCTAGGCAACAGCTGCTTACTAACTAGGATAAATGTGTGTTGACATTTCAACAAATGTTATGGCCGTTCTGGAGTAAGCTGGCCAAATGTAAGTCTGGAGTGCCAGAATTTTGGGCTGGTTTGGACATGAGAGGGGAAGAATGGAAGAACATTAACAAATGCATTCATGTGATGGTGTATTGAGTTGCTAGCCCCATAATGCTCGTCTGGGATTCTTTAGAGAGCTATAAAGACATCTATGCAAATAAACTCATTTATAATTTGCTCAAAAATATTTTTGGGGGAAATTCTTAATGACAAGTACTAAGTGCTGAGAAAAGAAGGTGAATAAGATATGTTGTTTTTTTTTAATCTTTCATGAATGATTTAAAGAGGAAGTGGATAAAAAAGGGTTAAGTTGTACTTGTATCAGTATTCATGAAAGTGGGAAAATATGGGCTCTTCTAAAGATAGAGTTCACAGCTAGTTAATTTGCTCACAGTCAGTTACAGGTCAAACTCCTTGTTCTACTCCTTTCCAAACCCTTCTCAGTACTACACTTGACCAGTCTTAAAAAGTATAGGAACGTACGTAAAAGCTTGAAAGAGCATCCTGCCGTAGACAACATGGCTTGTTGACGTGGTCTGAACTTGGGTTGTCTGTGAGGCGAAATACCTTGGAAGTAGGATATCTTTAAGGATAAGATATGTCACGTACATTGCCGAGGTTTAAACATGAGAGGGATGTGATCAGATATTCATTCTCCACAAATTGCTCGTAATATCCTTGGATATGCACTTGGAGATAATCAAAGCACCTGACTGGGACTCCTTGAGCAGTTGTATATCTATGCTGAACAATTCTCAACTGGTTTCCGATCTTAAACCTGGGTATTCTGTAAAACATAAGGAAAGACTCAGAAAAATGCCCCTTGAACTTTTAAACCTGACCTGGCAGCTTTTCACAAACATATTGTGACTTGTTAGTTCTGTGTTAGACATAAAAGTGGTTATTTTATATCAGAATAATATTTTGTGCAACTTCATCAGTTTTAAGGTTCACCCCTTAGACATTTTTATGAAAATGTTATCCCTTAGAATAGCAAGTACCATATGCTTTCTTTGTATTTCCATGCATATCATCTGCAAAGTTTGATAGGCGTACAAATAGAATCTGAAATAAAATCGGAAAAGTCAACCTAAAGATTTAAGAAAAGGCCCTTCAGGCATAATCTAAAAAAGTCTTTCTTTTTCACAGCTGCCCCAAGACAATGCATTGAACTTTACTTTGATGAAAAGTACTCTATTGAGCCATCTTGGGAGTGCAAATTTGATCATATTGAAGTTCGAGATGGACCTTTTGGCTTTTCTCCAATAATTGGACGTTTCTGTGGACAACAAAATCCACCGGTAATAAAATCCAGTGGAAGATTTCTATGGATTAAATTTTTTGCTGATGGAGAGCTGGAATCTATGGGATTTTCAGCTCGATATAATTTCACACCTGGTAAGTAAGGGCTTTTTCTTTGCCTTTTTTTTTTTTTTTAAATCTGTGTCTTTTTCTTCCTGTTTTCTATCTTTATGGTACGAAATCTTTTGTAAGACATCATTGTAACTTTTCAAAGAATTTTCAAGTTCTATTTAAAACCAAACCTACAACATGCTCCCTTTTCACTTCATGAATTCTGAAAGGAAAATTTCCTATTTTCCTTGACATGTGGCCTACACTAGAGGTAAAGGGCAGGGACTTAGAGGCCTCCAGGATTATCAGTAACATAGTTAGTTAAATGGACTTCTATTATGTTGAATGTCCAATTTGAGAGATAGTCTGTAATGAGGAAACTAATTTTACATTGGATCCCAGGAAACTTGAAAAGGCAATTGCAGTATTATAAAATATATCAGTCAAAATGATCTTTGGAGAAGTTGAATAAAAAGTTCATTTGTTCTGAAAATTATCATTTTTAAAGCAAATAGATTCTACTACAAAGTAGTCTGATCTCTTTATAGAAATACAAATTCCTAAGAGTTTCGATGAAAGGAAAACTGAGACCTGTAGTAGCCAAATATTCATTTGCAAGGCCTTGCAGACATTATGTGCAATGATAAAATTATGCATCTATGTCAATTTTGCTTTTAACCTGCTAATAATAAAACCGGTCTGTGATGTTGACTGGCTCACTTTATGAAGTTACCATTCATCACGGTAAAAGTTGGTTATCACAGTTTTAAACTGCAAATGCCTCATATTCATCAATTTGAGATTTGATGAAGTCATTACTTTAAATGGAAAAAATGATTCAAATTACATAAAGCCCACTATTTATATATAAATGCCTATTTTTGGTCTGTATGTATTCTTTTACTTAGGTTATAACATGTAATATAAGAATTTGAAATATGTGTGAAATTCATTGAAATTTCTATTGAGTGTTACAGATGTAACATCTAAACTGGGCTTTGATGCTCAGTTAAAAAACTAAAACGTTAAAAATGATTAACAGAATATTAATGATGACTCTCATTATGACATGGTGTGTGTTAAATTAATCAGATATTTACTGGATCATATGCATTAATCTTAAGCTTTAGGAATGTTTTTATAATATCACCGAGGGATTGTGATTTTAATCATGCTTTGGTAATATTGGATCGCTCACAGAAATCATGGATATTTCATGTGCCAGGACTAAACTAATTTGAGATACTCCAAAATAAAGTACAAGCGTTAGCTTATTTTACCTGACAGATTATTAGTGCTAGAGTTGTAAATGGAAATGTCTTGTATTTGTTCTTAACTGATAATTTTGAATATAATCTAAAGCTAGAGACAGTGGAACATGGCACGATCCAGGATTTTATACATTGTATTTTAATTCTGCATTTGGTGATCATGAAAATAATGTCTAGGCTTTAAAATCTTGGTTTCGTGAAGATCGTAGGGTTGACTAACATACTGTATCAACATAAGCAATGCTATCCACTTGTCTAGATCTACTTGAGATGACAGATAGTGCTGCTCAGTCTGATCTTCTAGGTTTGAAAGTCCTTTTTTGTTGTTGTTGTTTCCTGGGCATTGTTCATTGCTCTTTGTTTATTTGGAGCCACCATACTTCATCTATAGAAGTAGAAAGTTTTGTTTCAAGGGACAAGCGAATCAGAAGCCCATTTGAGGAGATGGCTCCATGAAATTAGGATGAGTTAAGGATGGGCCGAGGCTACTGTTTACACTTAGATCAACTAGAGTGAAGCCTGCAGGGAAACTTGGCATATGAGCAAACAAACGGGACCACAAGGAGGAGACTTGTAAAACTTCCATGACAGCAAAAGTCGGCATTATATGGCCTGAGGCCACTGTCTGAGCAGCAGAACAGCGTACAACTCATTCCATAAAGGGGCAGTACTGAGGAAGCCAATTAGTTATTGAAGTAGGACGTGGGAAAGGATTCGTGATAATTTAGACTGCATTTATGGGATCTGGAGCCAGGCTGAAATCGTCGTTTCGGCTAAATTTTTATTTGGTGGTATGATTCAAGTGGTGGCCTGGAGAAACTGAGGGAGGAGGAGTTTCTCAAGTCAACTTAATTATGTATGTTGTCAAGCATTGCTGGAGTTGCCAGGCTACCTGAGTAGACACACATTGGTGGCGAAGGTTTCCTAACAGGTCATCTCAGACACCTGGTCTGCTGGGAGGGGCACTGGCTTTGGAAACAGATCTGGCTTCCAGTTCTGACTTCTTTTCCTTGCATGCTGTAAACTTTGGGCGTAGCTTTTAACTTTCTCTCTCTCCATATTTTTAGTTGTAAAATAAGGATGATATTGACCACAGAACTTTTTGAAGATTAAGTCAACCAGTGCATATGTATGGACTTCTTGAGTGCCTGTAAGATTTCAACCATTGACAGCTATTATTTTTTTAATTTGATCATGCATTCTTTCAAAGAAAAGGAGACATGGTATAGGAAATTGAGAGAACAAGTGTCCCAGATAGATTTTGTTTTTAATTCTAACCCCCTTTCCCCCTGATTTTTTGGAGTAGATGCACAAAATTCATACCTATAGCATCTTACTTTTCCTTAGTTTAGGAAAGTTAGTTAATTTAGCTGGGCTTGGACTTCCAGGTGAGGGTTATAGCTATTTATGATGACAGTCATAAAATATGTCAAGGCAGAGATAGCAGCAGCAGAGGCCAGGTGGTCTTTATTATTTTTATGAATTTACCACAATCTGGAATCTAGATTTAATCTTATAGTCTCAGAATCTTGATGTCAACACATTGAGAGCATACCCATCTCTTAGGAATGAATCATGTTTGCCAAACTAGCAAGACTGAAGATACATATATACACAATGCACATACATAAATACACATACATATATAGATTATATACACACACACACACACACACACACACATACAGACACACACTTATTCAGTAAGAATTCTTAGAATCACACAGCACAGGTTTTCCTGTAAGCAAACATACCTGGGCAGGCATATTATATCAGAAAGTTGTTTATTGAGTGTGGAATCCAAATATGAAACAATATAACATGCATGTTTCATATCATCAAGCTAAGACCTAGTGATCCATCTCCACAACATGGACCGTTTATTCCAAGGGAACTTTAGATCTCACACTACCATAGGTTAGTTCCAGTCTCCAAGCTTCTGTTCCCATCTTAACCAGCACACTGACTGTGTAGACTTTTATCGACAAAATTGTTCCTGTGTCCTAGTATCTGGGTCCCTGACTTTCTTTTCCACTGCACTTTAAAGAATGGCCTGGCTCTTGCTGTTCCTGGGAGTTATGCTTCCGAATTCCCGGTGATATATGGAAACCAGCCAACCGGAGGTCATGCGTGGCCATGGCGAGAAGGAGGGCAGAGATAGAGAAGATCCCTCGGAAACTCGCTTACGGGAGGCTCTTCTCTTTCTCCTGACATATTCCGATGATCCCTTGGTTTTTAGTTCACTGACAGATATTTTTAGATGCTGTGGCTTTGCCCACATCCACAATGCAGTGATGAATCACCTAGGATTATAGTCTGGCATGCACAAAAAGGATTTTGAGATTGAGCAGTAGTCAGGGAGAAATCAACCGGTTCGATTTCTGGGGTCTGCTAAGGGCATAAGTGACACTGACAGAAAGGATATGGGACCTAGAGCTCTGGTGCCAGCTCAGGGATGACGCCTGTAGTGACAAGCTCTCTTCTTCCTGTGCTAAGAAGTCTCCTCTCCCACACACTCTCCCACTTCCCAGAAGAGAGATGAGTGCAGAATCACTGACAATGCCAAAAATTACATGATGGAAAAATTTGATAACAGGCAATTCAATAAGAAAACATACAGAAACATATGAAAGTATTCACTGCAATAGAATTATATGATTTTCCCAGTTAAAAGGATATTTTTCTTTGAAATGATTTAACCAAATTTATTATAGAAAAGCAAATAATCAGAAAGTATGTTGTGATACAAGTGATTTGAACAATCCTGGAATATCAGGAACACCAGGCTCATCAGAGTAGCATTCCTCAGCACCCTGGATAACGGGTGGCAGAGGAGGAGAATGGGGATTGCAGGGGCCAAGGGGAAGAAGATAGGGTAAAAACTGACTCAACTTCATTGGTGATGCTTTAATTTTTGAAATGGATACTGTATTTTTGGTATTACACAAGTAAGTAAATAAGATATAAAAAATAAATACCACAGTTGAGAATTTTAATGAATTTTTTAGAAAAGGGAATATCATTTTTCCATGTTTCACAAATTTTTCCACTCAAACTAAGAATGCTTTTTGAGCAGAGTACAACATTTCCCTGCAGCCAGCTGCCTTCCTCCCTCAATTTTCTTTGCACTTGGAAATAGAAGAAGAGACACGTCACAGTTATCTACTGTACTCCTCAGTACCATGGCCTTACCCAGGGATTTTATATTCAGTATTAAGAAAGAAAACATTCAGGATGTTCCATTCCTGGAGAAGGCAAACCTTCCAATCTCTTTAGTAACAGATATCTTTTGTTAGCCTTGTCCTTTATTTCCTAATGGAGAGATTTTCTGCCATTTATAGAAACAGAATGAGACATTTATGGAATCTTCCTCTTTTGAGTATATTTTTTTTTCTGTACTAGTTTTATGAAGTGAAGTACACACAATGTACTGGAGATGTTTAACTTAAGGAATATACCTCAAAATACCAAATAGGTGAGGAGGTTGAGTTAGGCATTGGCACTGAAGTGAGTGGAGTTGTTAAATATGGTGAAATTATTATGATACTTTGTACATAAATAGTACCTTTCGTCTGAGGAGATAAAAATATTTTAGGGACTTTCTGACCAATTCCTAGCCTCCTCTCAAGTTCCATGCTGATTCACTTCAAAGGCAAAAGAAACAACACATGACAGTGCAGTGATTTAAATTCAGCTGCTTTAAAAACTTTCTATGCATAAATAAATGAAATATATTATTAAGGTAAGATATCCTTGTGGATTTAATGTTATCTT